GAGTGGGAAACTGTGTTGTGATGTGAGTGGGAAACTGTGTTGTGATGTGAGTGGGAAACTGTGTTGTGATGTGAGTGGGAAACTGTGTTGTGATGTGAGTGGGAAACTGTGTTGTGATGTGAGTGGGAAACTGTGTTGTGATGTGAGTGGGAAACTGTGTTGTGATGTGAGTGGGAGATGTGAAACTGTGTCTGTGGACTGTGTGTGATGTGAGATGTGAGTGGGAAACTGTGTTGTGATGTGAGTGGGGGGCTGTGTCTGCGGTGGGGTGTGGGACTGTGTCTGTGGTGGCTTGTGGAGGGGGCTGTGTCTGCGGTGGGGTGTGGGACTGTGTCTGTGGTGGCTTGTGGAGGGGGCTGTGTCTGTGGAGGGGTGTGGAAGGGACTGTGTCTGTGGTGAGGTGAGGGAAGAGTGCCTAAAGTGAGGTAGCTACATTCGACAGTGCCCTCAATAAGGTGTGGTGGGTGGCGGACATTGAACGCCTCTCGCCTGTGGACTGCTTGCGGACGAACGTGGAATGTGAAGCTGTGGAAGTGCCGTGGGAGGCGTAGCGGGTCTTCTTTACCTAAGAATTCGTTAACTCACTTATCCCTTTCCAGTGTGTCTCAGAGCTGGGAAGGAGGGGAAATGAGAAAAATGAGAAGAGATAGAAGAGACAATATTAGAGGGAGTGAATGGGAAATTAGGATACAGATGGATATAGGATGGGAAAGAGAAGTGGGAGGGGGGAAACTGGTATGCATAGCTACACGCAACTCACCACCTCATAGCGCCCACTCGTAGGGTTTCGTAAGACGAAATATTATGTATGGTTTCTGCGAGTCCTTGAGGAGAGACAGCTCCCTCCTCAGTAATCTTTCTTTTTACCTAATTCCTATAAATGAAGTTAATTTCACCAACAACTTTCACCGTAATTTTCATCATTGGTTTTTGTATGATAATGAAGTGATACAGTACTACAAGAATACGGTTAGGAACAAGTGAAGAGGGAATGATTAAATTTCAAACTACGCTTCGTGTCATTTTTCGTTTTCCTCATCAGTTATCATATTTCGGGATGAGGCTATATTGCATAACTGCCAATAACACCACTGTATCACTTACACATTTATTTCCAATTTTTCTTTATCGTAAAATCTCACATTTAACAAACATATCAGATAGAAAATGAGGTATAATTTTTCTTTCGGACATTGGTAGTAGGTAGTAGGCAGCTATCGAACAGGGAGGTACTACCGCCTGGGAAGATATTGGAAGAATAATGTGTTGTCTAATGGCAGACCCTGCTGCCATATGGCATCACGAAAATTGTGACAAGTCCCAGGTTGCTGATCTGACTTTCTGCCTCATTTACACACAATTGCAGGGTCTCAATTGTTTCTCTTACTATGACAACACAACATACATACTGAATATCGTTTCTCACTATTGATCTTTTTTCATTTTTGTATTTCTTTATGGTTCTTTATTATTGTTATTATTATTATTATTATTATTATTTATTTTTTTTATTATTATTATCAGTTGTTATTATTTTTATTTTTATTATATTGTATTGTTATTACAAATGTTATTTACTATGAACTAATTATTATTATTACATTTGTGCCCTCCCAGGCCCCGATGTGGGTCATGAACCTGTGCCCGGGTGGGCTAATCCCTGTAAAAAATATATATATAGTTTTCAGTCTTCACCTGTGAGATGTTATCTGCGCATCACACTTGCTCAATGTTGACTGACGTCATCCAGTCGCGACCAATAAAGTATCGATATCATCACACGAATTTTTTTCGATCAATCACATTTGATTTTTTCAAGGGAAGCAAGCCCTGGGTACAATTCAGGTCTGTCGGAATTTCCGACTCTTGTTTATCGAACACGCTGATTGGCACAAACCCAGTAATTCGTCTGCTAATCGGTAAACTGATGACGTAGTCGGTAAGCCGTGACGTCACTGCTCCGACTCGGTAAATTACCGACTTTAGGAAATACGCTTTTTCATGGCTAAAACACCGTATAGAATACACAGAAATAAATTGTAATGTATTTAATTACCTTACCCACATTTTACTCGCGATATTTTAGCAGAACTATATTCTGCTGAGTCACACAACTCAATGTGTAAAATAAGGCCATGTACAGTATATATTTCTTGTGCTTAGTTATGCTTCTAAATGTTTAAATATTTGTATTTTTTATGTATTGTCAAAATAAAATTGTTGAAATGTTTTGGTTATTTTTGTATTCAGTATTATCGAAAAGTAATACAAATTACAATTGATAAAATACAAATCTAATGTGATCTCATATAACACTCTGAATGGTGTATAATGCAGTGTTTATTATTCAGAAATTTATAAAACTAATGACAGGAACAATGAAATTCACTGAGTATGAGGACTACTCTAATATAATTACTGTATCTGGGATCTTCGTCACCACACATTATATTATAGAAAATCGTAATATTACGTCATGTTCTCGCAACCAATCACAACGGGAGCAGTTGTTCGGTAAGCAAGAGTCGGAAACCCTGTCAGCCCTGGGTACAATTTGAATTTCATTGACCAGTTTCACAATGGCAGTGATGGAGGTTAGTTGTCGTTTGTGCTCCGACAATTATTTTAAGTTTATTGTCGAGTTTTACGAGAAACACGATTATTCTATCCATTTCTTACGTATCCCTGGCCCTTCTACTTCTAAGGTATTGTACTTTCGGACATGGCGCGCCGCAAAATTTTTAACTACTGAGACATTTAGGTTAGTTTAAGCTAGGCCTACCGGGGGTCCGGGGGCGGAGCCCCTGGTTAGAGGTCGGGTTAGATCTACTGTGGATCCAGGGGTGGAGCCCCCGGCTAGGAGTTAGGTTAAGTTTTGTTAGGTCAGATAACTGATGGGGTGTACACTGACCAACGCAATATATTACCATGAATATCAAAATAAAAGAAAAATAACAATTCAGCGTAAATTATCCAGCTCAGGTGAGAATTAAATACCTCAAAGAAATAGGAAGTAATTTAACTGGGCTATGCAGAAACGAATTTTTCAAACGTGCTTCAAATAAGTGGCTTATGGGCCATGGTCCGGGTCTCAACATATTTGTATTAGTATTTTGCTAGACAGTCGAGATGTCATAGACTATTAACAATATAAACTCCCTTCGAAGCGTAAAGCAGATTTATTCGTAGAATGAGTGTGCAGTGACTAACGTGCAACACAAAACCCAAGATTTTCGGTCGTCCCTGTACAGTATTTAGATATCCAAACTACGTGATATGTAGATTCAAACCGTTCTTAACACATCAAAACCCATCGGAAAAATATAGTTTCGATATCTAACCTAACCTAATTCCTAAGATTCCACGGATGACCGAAACTAAAATAATACCCTGATTGCTTCGAGTTTGTATCCTTAAATTTTAGTATTGGTCTAACAAAAAATATATATATATACAGTCGAACCAAGATATGTTACAAAAGCAGATTTTTTAATTTAATTTTTAAGCGCGAAACAAGGTTAGTAATACACGAGTCCAACAACAATTAAAAATTATGCACAGGATACAGGTACGGCAGCCGTATGAGAAAAATCGATGTCTATTGTTACGGCAGCCTAATGTGCAAACTTGATCGTTATTAAGACAAGCCTTTCTGACTTGCCAAACCTAACCTAACTTTACATAACTTGACCTAACCTAACCATTAACAACACAGTCAGTCAATACGGCTGCCGTACTTGCATCCAATACATAAACATTATAAGATGGAACTTTGGAGCTGAGCTGGGAAGTTGTACACAAGTTACTACTTACCAGGAGCCGCGCTGTGGTCTAAATTGTCCATTCTTAACGATCACATTTCACAACTTGGTGAGCTTCAACAGCGTAAACTGTTCGATGAATCACCAGATCAGTTGTATATTACCGTATATATAAATCACTTCCCATTTTCGATTATACGTACACAAAAATGGCTCCGGCAACAGTTGGAGGATTTGCATCTTAATTTGTTTCTCCCTGGTTCTTGTCATAATAAATAAGTTCCAGCCACCCGAGGATGCCACCATGTTTGTGCTTCAACTGTTGAGACCCGAGTGTCCCAGCGACCTTCCCCTATCTTACCTAATCAAAGTTACCGAACCCAACTTAATATAATAAACTTCCATCCTAGGATAGGTAGGGTTGGCTGGTTCATCTTACCAAAGAGAAATATTATAAAGTAACAATCATTGAAAGTGTTCGCAAGTATAAAATGTTTCACGCTCACGTAAACAGTCAAATGGTGCCATGGGAAAAACAAAATTACGATTTGTAAATGTATAACAGTGAAAGCTAAATGTATCCTCAAAAATATTTATAAAATTGACATGGTATTAGAGAAAATGGTAGAATATTCACACAGAGAACGTGAATCTCAAAAAATCTGAATGTGGAATCAGTGAGGTTATGGCTCTCGTGGGGACAAAGTAACGAGAATAACTGAAACAACATCTTTAAGTACCACAAATCCGTCACATGTATTAATAATTTACAACAGTACCGATTTTAAAGTTATCTCTGGCTGCCTACGAGTTTCAGCACTCCAGGCAGACATCATTTGTTTATCAAGACATCGTTGAAATGATTACCGCGCGGGTTATTATTATTATTATTATTATTAGTAGTAGTAGTAGTAGTAGTAGTAGTAGTAGTAGTAGTATTTTAGTACTTGGCTGGAAAATCATATAAAGGTTACCAAACATTCTCAGAAGGCCCCAGCTTGGCATACAGCACAAGAGGCAACAACTATAAAGAGGGTTAAAATGAAATAATCACACTTATACAGTTACGAAGCCAAGAGAATAACTATTAATTTACCTTCTTACGATCTTTATAACCCCAGTAGGTTGAAGTGAACACATTAAGAATCAGTTAACTGAGGCATAAACGACGATATGTGTTTTACATTGAGTTTGTTTTATTAATAAAAGAGTTGCGTTGATGTGTGATGTGTCCCGCAGGCCCGTGAGCAGTCGCGGCGCCGCAGTGCCATGCCAGCCACCAACCGTAGCAAACCTGCCATGGAGCTCTACCGCCCGCCAAGTGAGTATCTGTATCTCCCTCACACCCACACCACCCATCCCTGCACCACCTACACGGTCACACCACCCATCCCTTCACCACCTACACGGTCACACCACCCATCCCTGCACCACCTACACGGTCACACCACCCATCCCTGCACCACCTACACGGTCACCTGCATCCCACACCACCTACACGGTCACACCACCCATCCCTGCACCACCTACACGGTCACACCACCCATCCCTTCACCACCTACACGGTCACACCACCCATCCCTGCACCACCTACACGGTCACACCACCCATCCCTGCACCACCTGTACCTATACTGTACTGTACATTACCACACTATCCACATGACCACACCCTACCATCCTCATTATCACACCATTCACATGACCACATCATCCACACAACCGTACCACACCCACAATATAAACATCTCCACCCCCCATACGTACATTGAACCACAGTTTAATAGGAATATACACGTTTTTTACTAACATTTTAATGGAATACTGTTTATATCGGGTGACTTTGTCTAGAAAGTAGACCATTGACCTGCAGTCCATTCGCCAGCGCTCCGGGGACCCGGCATCTTCGATAACGCGAACGGCGACGCTGTAATGAACGGCAAGATGGCCCACAACGGCGGCTACCACGACAAGTCCGGACTCAACGTTAACGCTCGAGAGTTTGTTTCTGTAAGCACTAGACCTCCCCTCCAGCACTCCAAATCCTCCAGTAGTGTTCCCCTCCAGGTGAGTCCCCCCAGCCAGCTTAACTCCACAGTATTGTTCTCCATCAGTTTAAGTTCTCCAGTAATTTTCTTCTTTAGGTGAGTATCCATCCACCAAGGTTCAAGTCCTCTGTAGTGTGCCTCTCTAGGTGAGTGTCCAGTAGCATGGCCTTGCAGGTGAGTACTGACCAATGCTCAAATCCCCCGGTATTGTCCTCCAGGTAAGTCTGTATGTTCCCTCAGTTTTAGTTGTGTAAAGGTTGCCACAACGGTAACACCCATGGCCTATACCGATTTTGGGTGTGTGTGTGTACTAGTAAGACCCTGAACTGTAAATTATTTATTTGCAACTACACTGTGAAGATTAAAACAGATCATATATATGGTCGTACGTTCACCTTTTTTTTTTACGGGAATTAGCCCACCCGGGCACAGGTCGAACGACCCACAACGGGGCCTGGGGGCGAAAAAATAAGAATAGAAAGAAATTAAAAATAAAAGTAAAAATGTTATATTAATCTACACCACGAGGATGCCGGAAAATCATTTTTTTTTTTTTAATGAGACATTGTATGAGTATGGAAACACAGAAGGCAGAGCATTCCACAGTTTGGCTGTGTGAGGAAAGAAGGATGTACTATAACGGGTTATTCTAGTGGGACCGACATCCACAGAGAAACAGTGGGCACCGCGGGCAAGACGAGTGTTACGAGCCTACGGCCTTGCCGGCGGTACACAGGATGCCAAATCCACCGAACATTGCCCGTTAAAGTACCTGTAAAAGGGAGAGAGTGAAGCAACATTGTGGTGAAGAGAAGGAAGAATGATTGTCACCTGAATAAGGAGAGTTAATAAGACGAAATAAAAGTACTCCAAGTTGGGACGAATGAATCCCTTATATACTTGAAGCAACTGCTGGGAGTGAAGTAGCTACGGCATTTGTCCAGCATTCCCAACTTTCGGGAGGCAGGTTTAGCAATGTTGAGGATGTGTGGCTTCCATGACATATTCGAGGAAATGGTGAGGCCTAGCATATCTATTTTAGAATTTGGCAGGATGATAGCGTCCTGAAATGTGATTGGTGGGATATTAATTTAGAAATTGTAATTGGTGAATACCTGTACTAGTTTTATTACTATTGAATTTAACCAAGTTTTTATCTCCCCATTCGAAGATGCTGCACAGATCTGGACTATTTAGTCTTAAAACTATGTGTCCTTTTCAAATATAGGATTATGTTTAATAAAAGTAGTCACATTACCTTAGAACTAGCAGTAACTTTATGGATAGAGAAATTAAACGATTCATATTTATTTGATAATTTTTGTACAGTGGCAGCAATAGTCTTGAATTCACAAAGCTTCTTATGCTAACTTTTCATTGTGACTTGCGATGAGAGAATGCATCTAGCAGATTCATTAAAGCTGTTGCACAAAGCTACATAGACACTGGCATCGCAGTTACACCCATTTTACTGTAACTTAATGCATTCTCGTAACCCACAATGACGAAGAGTATAAGCTATGTCTTTGGAGAAATTGGACACATGATGTACAATCTTGGAAAAGTACCACGAACACGAATCGCTAAGCCTTTTTTTTTAACCACAAACGAAGTAAATCTAAAGTTAAGGACCTTAGGGTAATTTTGATGAGTTATTTTGATATGTAGGTTTGCGTTCCTCTATGGTACTCTTCCAATTTTGTACATTTTAGTAATCATGGCATAGTGTAGAGTTAGACCCTGTAACTCGTAACGCAATGCTTGTCCTGTAGGGTCGTCCCGGTGGTCTGCAACACTCCAAGTCTGGCAGTAACTTACGACAGACCACCAACGGCGACGTACGACCCCCGAGCGGCTCCCCACCCAGGGTACACTTCAGCGACGATAAAGAAAACGACCCAGAACTTAAGGTAAGACTCAAGGAAAAATATCCAATTGCTAACACTAAAAATGGAAGACCCTGAAGGTGAGTAAGATTTAGAAAAAATAAATTTGCATAAGTCACCCGGTATTGAATTTTGAGGATTTTTATGGTTGCAATCTATGACGCGCAAACGACCTAACCTAACTTCCTGACAAGCCTCCCTGGACTCCCGGTTTATATAAGTCGTTTGCAACCATAAAATTCTCAAAATTATATACCGGCTGCCTTATGAAATAATACCCGTAGAAAAATACAGGTGAGGAAAAACAAAAAAATGACTTCCTGGTCTCTAGTAATGTGTTACTGTGCTCTAACGACTAAATTATTTAAGTGTGTAGTTAGATTAGTATTGTACATCACTACTCATTAAAAATTAAGTTATATTTGTAGATTCGATCCTCAAATTTAAGGAATAATAAAAATAACGCAGAAAGTTGCCTGGGGGGGGGGGGTCGTCTGTACATTTCTACTACTCGAGGGTTGACGTACAGCAGTATGGGCTGCGATGTTCTACCGGGGAAGTTAGTACAACCCGCGACCTGGTTTGACCATTTGTCGATTTTTTTAGCATTTAAGTTTCTTGTATTTTGGGGTATTAATTTTGATGTTGATTTATACTAATATTTCAATAATCAATTGATCTTTGGATTAAATTAACTTAATATTTCCTTAATAAAATTAGAGTAACAGCAGGCTTACCCAAACTTCCGACCTCCATCACCGCCGATGGTCGTGGGTGGTTATACACACGTAGAATAAATCTTGATAAAATCACACGGGAAAATGGAAACAACGGAGTACCTTAGCTTTCGTCTTTATTCAAGATGTCTTGAATAAAGACGAAAGCTAAGGTACTCCGTTGTTTCCATTTTCCCGTGTGATTTTATCAAAATTTATCTTATCCACGTTTTCATTGTGGATTTACATGAAACGTAGAATAAAGTAGATTTAAGTCAATATTTCCAGATTCAAGGAAATTTCCATATTTTAGGGAAATCTGGTGCTCACAAGGATCTTTTTAAGGAAGTGTCAAATATAAGGAAATTCAAAGGAAATCGGGAGTTGGAAATAAAATAAGACTGAGTTTATTTTATTTTTTAATCGAAATATATGGAATCAAATAATGGAAAGATCGAGAAGATATAATATTTGTAGCCAAGTTCTTCCTGTTCCTAAGCCTAAATAGTGCTTACGATTACTACATATTGGGTACTACTGTACGTGTGTACAGAATATAGACAGGTTCACTGCCTGCCAGTCAGTCACTATAGGACGGTTCAAAAGTCCCATAATGCTTATATTAATGATCATTTATTCTATGTAGAGTTTCATCATGTAATCAATGGATTCTGTATAATTATACATGGTTAGTTAATTATTGTGAGATTTTAAGGAGTTTCAGTTCTACGAGGAAAGATAATAAAGATATTTGTTTTAACTTTTGGGAAGGTGTAGTAAATAATAATAATAATAAACGGTTTATTAATAGAGTTGCTGCCGCTGGCTGAAAATATACAAACTTACATGTGCTTTAGACATAATACTATACGTTCAATACATTTACTTGTGTGTACTCATTGTGCTGCATCATGCTAACTCACTTTCTTAGTCTCAGAGCAGGTTTACAGCACTTCGGTCTGCTTCCTGTAGGTTTGACTTTTGCCTTAATATGTTGGTAATGTGACTATAGGCATTATTAATTTATTTGGTACTGGGCCCTTGGGTCGGGAGACGCAGGACAAGTAGTCTACCATAATTGCTCTACAGAATTATTTGTTATTTTTTTTTTTTGGGGGGGGGGGGGAGTTTTTCATGAAAGGAAATTTATAGGGAAATTGAATATTTTTTTTTACAGGACATCTAAGGAAATTTAACAACCCGGTCAAAGAAATCGAAGTTCAAATGTGGAAGCACTGACTTGAGCACTCCCCCATGTTATCATCTCCAAGTGTCCCCTTGTTTCTTGCTTGTCTGGGCGATGTCTCAGGCAAGTTTTGAGCCAGGAAGCTGAAATTCGGACACAAAATCGTTTTCTTAAATTTTTACTTGTCCACTGCTTCCCACTCTACTCCCTCTCTTAGGTGTGCCATGAAGTGCGGGGGGAGAGGGGTGAAGTTGATGACAGTTTTATTAATATGAGTGAATATACATTTCCTATTGTTCGTTAATATGTTCTACCTGTATTGAATGTGTAAGCTGGCCCGTAAGGGGGGAAGGTTAACGTAGTGTGCATGCATGTCCAATTTCACTCACACCAGCCTACCGCATGTTGCTTCTTGACTGGCCTAGCACGAGAAGGTTCGTGGTTAAGAAGTTTACATTACATCTTCGGACCAACGAACCTTCTGAATACAAGATCAATCCTCCGCCAAAATTAAAAATAACACGTGTTCTGGCTCGAGTATGTTATCCTCACTATACCTCGTTATCTAGTAGATTTTTATTTATTTATTTATTTTAGCAAATAACTTGAGCTTCTTTTTAACAAACACTCGTACTCGTTCAGTGGTTTTTAAATTTTTTCGAGTGCGACCCAATTTGGAGTATGTGAGAAACTTTGCCACCCTTCGATTTGGATAAAAAGAATAGCTCAAATCAACTAGCAATTTAATTGCAAGGTGCAACTAGCAATAAATAGGGGTTGAAGGCTGTACCGGTGACCTAGAGAGGTTAAATAAAAAACAGGCAAAGAGCATAACTGCTGGGCCATCTCCACCCACTAAAGACTGCAAGTTACCCACATTTGGGTCGCGACTCATTGTTTGAGAACTGCTGTTCTATTTCTTTATCGTCAACAGATATTAAACCTTGTTTTCATTTCTTACTAAAGATCAGGTACAGTAGAATTTTTCGTCTTTAACTTAGGTTTCTGAATGTGGACAGTTGACAGGAGGCAGCAGGTGTGACTTATGACGCTCCAGGCAGCTCTATTTGTCTCACATGGACGGTTGCCAGCTCCTTAATATTAGAACTTACAGGTGCAGCATTGCTGTCATCAGTGGAATTTAAACTTCTCTTAAAAAATTACAAATAAATGACTAAATTGATAAATGGGTAACATGAGAAAACCATCTCGAAAAAATGAGGTTATTTTGAAGAATATGAATCAAATGTTTGGCCGCTACATACAGTACTGCAGTGTGTGTGTGAAGGTTAGTTAAGTAAATCAAAATGTTTTCTTACTGCCAAGCATGAGAAGCGCAAATTAAATAATGAATAGTGGTCACATAATACATAAAACCCAGTATAACTACATTTTTAATTGTTAATGAATACAATATGTATACTAACTTATACCTATACACCTGTTGTTTAAAAACAGTAATACATTAAACATCAATATTTTAGCAGGAATTAGTTTCATATATATATATATATATATATATATATATATATATATATATATATATATATATATATATATATATATATATATAAACCAAGAGGATAGTTACGGCTGGAATGCATAAAGGGTAATGGTAGGGACAAAATCACTATGCATTGAAATTTTAGGTTTCAGTTATATGCCAGCTTAGTGGCTTTTTCTCTGTGAAGGGAGAGTTAACAATGTTTAACAAATATCTTGTACCCTGCAGTGTGTGCCGGTGTCCCGCCCTCCCTCCCTGGCAGTGGGGATCCTAAGTCAGTCAGGTATCAAGAGGTCGAAGTCACTGGGCTCAGCAGACCTCCGCGCCTCACAGCTCCTGGAGGCCTCCACACCCACCACCGCCATGCCGGACTTGGGCCCCTTCTCACCCGATGTCCAAAATTCTATAACGAAAGCTATGACTGGTAAGGCTAGTAACTCAGTCTGCTTCAACAAGTTTTCAGTTTTTCTCCCACAAAATCTTCACGGGAATGATACGCTTAATGATAAAATTGAAGTGCTTATATCTTGTTTTATAGTATAATGGTACATGTTATCACAGCTTCTGGAGTGGACATTCTGGGCTACGAGAAACGTTCCCCCTTGCTGAACTAAAACTAACGTCCCATGAGGTGTTGAATACTAAGAATCATGCTAGCATCTATCTGGCCGGGCATATAACACCATAGTAGGGAGAGGCTTTCAGTATGTACAATGAAAGACAAAACTCGTGTCGTGAAATTTGGTGAAAACATCTGCCGAAGGGCTAAACTTTTGGTGCGCTCTGCCTTGTGGTGGGGGACTCTCATAATGTTTCAAGAGTTATATTTAATCTTCCGACAAAACAGTGACACGACTTTTGTTTTTGTACGTACGTGGGGGGAAAAATACGTGTACTATATATCTTACTTGCAATCTAAGTATACAATGTTGTGTTTATCTAGTGTGTTTAGAATGAATTTATTTTCATTTTTTCCATCATGGTTTGCAAATAATTCGTTTCCAAGTGTTTTAGCCTAGTTAGGTGTAGTTGAAGAAAATGTATTTGACTACATAAGAACATAAGAAAATAAAGAGTGCAATAGGCCGGTTGGCCTATGCATGGCAGCCCCTGTCGAGAGTTATTACCACTCTATCATCCATGAATCTATCTAGCCTCATTTTAAAACTTAACAGCGTTCCAGCACTTACTACAAAGTTGCTAAGCTTGTTCCACTCGTCCACCACCCTATTTGTGAACCAGTTCCTTCCTATTGCCCTCCTAAACCTTGCCTTGCTCAAAACCGTCCCTCATTTATTTTCACATAATTTACTCAACACGGCAACCTCTTACAGGAGATATTAAACGTTAGTCAGCTGTAAACACGAGGCACTTGATAATTCGGGCTAAAAGGCCTCTTGAAAGATAATGTGGTACATTATCAATTTATGACTGGGAGTTTGGCGTGTAATGAGGGGGGAACTACTGTATGTAGAAAGTATAGATAGAATATTTAGTCTTAGGCATGGACACATTAATATTAATCTATATATCGAAGTCACTAGACACTGACTCTCGGACACAAACATGAAATGGATACACTTCCCACCGTAAGTAACTCACCCTTGGATCGCTACTGACAAAGACTCACGTGTGACCTGAGGGAGTCCCAGCAGGTGCTATTGAAGGGAGAGCTGGACTATGTTTCCTGGGGGAGACTGCTAGCTGGAGATGTGGTGCCGGGGAGGAACTGTCGGCTCCCTCCCTATTACAGAAATAATCCGAATGCGACTGTCATGAGAAGGAGCTGCAGAGCCTATATATTGACGATTTCCAGCAGGACGATGTCGTCACTAATCTGAGTGTGTCTGGTCAGGTGACAGGTGTACTGGCTGGAGGGTTAGCTTCTTGAGTAACACGGTTATGTCGCAGGGTTAAGCTAATCGCTTGGCGGTGAGAACTCTGGGTCAATGAGACTGACCTCTCTTGGGTCAGGTCTGAACAGCTTGTCCAGGTGTAGCTTCTTGAGTAACACGGTCATAACACAGGGTTAACTCAGGTGCCTTGTCCGTGACCTCTCCTGGGTCAGGTCTTAGGGCCAATTGCAAGATCAGCCGTGGTGTACACCACGCTGTGGTATCCCGGCGGTCGTAGTACAATGGAGTGAAAATTTCGTGATTTTTCAAGATGGGCCGTGGTGCATGATGGTGGTACCCGACTGTCGTTTGTTGTTACTACGTCATCGTAGTGCAGTCAGGTGAACCAACTGGCGGAAGACTTGGGGGTTGGTAACCTAACTTAACTGGTAAAAATCGGTCAACTTATAATCATTAAATTCGCTGGATGGCCAAAAGATAATATCATCAGTTCCATTTACTTTAGAAGGACTTATTAATTTTTGTTGAAATCATGGACATACAAAGCCAATATATCTACATTTGATTCTACCAGTGTGAATGGCAAAGTTAATTAATATCACCACTCCAACTGTTGGCCCAAACAAGTCGTAAAGTAGTTCTTTCTTGTAATACATTGAGTCACCAAGGGAATAAAAAAATAAAACATGAATTTAGGTCACTGAATTTATCTTATTAGTAGCAAATTGTGGTTAAATTGATACACAAATGAAACATGCCTGGGAAGTACCTGGCACTAGTTACCTGGTATATTTGGACTTATTAAAATATGATATCTCGGCTAATAAGTAATTATACTAAGGAAATAATTATTATGGTAGTTTTGGACTGTTATTAATTGCCCTCATTACGAAAATTGGGTCGATATTAATTCTGATGAAGGACGTCATTCACCATCCCAGAGGAAGCTGTTCTCACCACTCTTCAAATAGACCATTTACGACTTTTTTTTAGCTTAATTTGATTTCTATACATTTCTACACATAAATTAGTTGTATTAGTTATCTTAAAGGCTTACCTTTTGTGATGGTTAGGCGAATTTGGAGGATATAAACGGCGATGAGACGAGTAGAGGCTGGCGGAATTTTTCGTACACAAACATGGACCGCTTTTAAAAAGAACAATACAATTCTGCATGTGCTGTTCTATATGGAGTATATCGTATAAAAAATATTATTTCTTTGCGGATTTATACATTTTATGTGCATCCAAATCAATTTTCTTTCTTTTGGTTTCAAAAATAGTTCCCTCGTAGTGATCATCGGGCGGGGGTGCGACTACCACGAAATTTCCCCATGTTCCAATAACGAATTGTAAATTTTTTTTTTCAGCCCAAAACGCTTCTTGCACAACAAACATGGGGCTACTACAGCATGGTATACACCACGGCTGATCTTGCTATTGGCCCTTACTGTCACTGTAGGGTGTGTCAACCTTAACATGATGATTGTAACTCCTCCAGTCATCGTACCAGGAAGATCACTGACGAATACGGGTTTTCGTTTCGGTTATATTTATGAAAAACAATCCTCTATTGAATTTTTTTATCCGTTTTTAGGTAAATATCATGTTTTTTCAAAGCTTATACGGAGGCCGTGTTACTATTTATCTCGGAAATAAATAATTTGAATACTTGTGCTTTGAGGATCTACACTGATGTTATGTTTCTTTGGTATTTATTTTCACGCTCTGTGTAGTTATAAGTAAATAAATGATACTCTGATGGAATGTTAGGTCACAGTAAAGGCCACCAGGTAAGTTTTTCTCGATCAGGGCAGTTTTAATATTTCAAAATTTAGATAAACTAAAGTTATTGTATTCATTCACATCACCAAACTCAGACATGACAGAGGGGTGTTAATAGTGTGTATGCGATTAATATTTGGTAAATTTAACAACGTCATACTTTACACATGAGAAGTCAGTTATTAGGTAACAGCGAATGATTAAGGTTTTTATTATCTTAAACTAAGGTGTTCTGTAATGAACCGATGTTGATCCTGAAATTATGGCATTCCCAGAGCCCCAGACTGAAGAATATTGGTGAAGAGACAGCCCTTCTAAAATGCAGGACATATTGATAAATTGAGCATATGAATGTTGTGAAGTATAATTATTTATCTCTTATTACTTATTTATTGACAGACCCCAACAGCGTGAGTGCGAGGCAGCTGATGGAGGTGGTGCGTCACGTGTTCACGCGGGTGGTGGAGGCTTCCCGCCACGCTGAGCCCGCAGCCAGGCTCTGTATCGCTATTATTGAGGCAAGACACCCTCCTCACCATGATAATATTAGTCTTAACATAGAATATTACTACAATTAAGAGAAACTTTATATAAAAACAAAAATTTTTAAAACTTAAATGCAGAAGTTTTATTTTGAAAATAGACTCTGCTTAAGAGTAGCTTTGTGATATAGGTCTGTATCTTTTAATATTGTATTGATATATTTAGGTGTTTCTTGTATCTTGTAATAATGTAACAATTTACTCGTGCAGAAGGAGAAGAATGAAACATTCCTGGAGACGCTGCTCAACACGTGCCAGGAGTACTTCCAGGAACGTGATCGCCTCCTCCGAAACAACCCACCCGCACCCTACCCGGGCTTCGTCCCCGCCCACCCGCGCTGGATCGCCTACATGACCTTCCTCAATGAGATGTATACACAGGTATGGAATGTTATGTATGTTTGGGGAGATATTATGTAATATGGTATATACAGAAATGGAGCTATATAAACTCATGACAACGCTCCACTAGCCCAATAAACTAATGACAATGCTCCACTAACTCAATAAACTCATGACAACGTTCCACTAACTCAATAAACTCATGACAACTTTCCACTAACTCAGTAAACCTTCGACAGCTCAAGCGGCGACATGTACAGCTCATGACGAAGCGAATGAGGAACAGTGAGACAGCGCCGGGACTACTACTGCTCACCCTGCTAGCTCAGTGCTGTCAAGTGTGTCTCAAGGAAAACGCCGTCAACAGTCTGGCTGAGGTAACTTTAATCTGATTTTCTCCGTGGCTGTGTTGTCTTATATTAATCAATGCTCTTGTGACCGATGTTTGTTATAGATTGTCTTTAAGATTACGATTTACCGCATCTATCCTTTTAAAACATCAGATTGAATAAATATCTTGGAATGCATCTTGTAATGTTTGTGTAAAGATATTTATTCCATACATGATCCTGTTATTTCATTTGACTGAGTGCAATATATAGGTTACTGAGTAGGTCTTTCTAAATTTAGTGTTTCGACCACATTAATGTTGTTGTCACCTCGCCAGACTGAGTGCCTATTCTTCGTGCTGACTGGAGTAGGGAAGGATATCGAGGTTGAGCTGCCTCACCAAATGGCGCGGGTGATGAGTGCCGCCCGTGATGCCTTCCTCACTACTGTCCGGGTCCCCGCAGTTCGCAAGACCCTACTCCAGCTGATAGAAATGCACGCTGCTAGATGGCAACTGCCGGCACCTGCAGTCATGTACTACTACCCAGGCTCAGGCAGCAAATAGCCGTATTTGACTTGTAGGTTCCAGATATAATACATATAAAGTACTGTACACACCAGCCTGGTGCCAAATTGCTGGCTGTATAATTCGTGTTCATATTGCCATGTCAGTTTTAGAAGTGAACCTTTTTAAGTCAATCGTATCATAATACCTGGCAATAAGGCGACACATATATCCCAGTGGCTTTGGCAGCTCCTGGTATATATATATATATACATATATGAGGTGTAATGTATGTTTCCTTTTGTAATGCCAGAACACGGCCTTCTCTCCCTAGTCATGCTCCTTTGTTTTTGTTGAGAAATTAAGCAGTCTTGATACATTTCTAATCTGTAAGTGTATGTGGAACAGAGAAACGCTACTAATAATTTGTCCGACACAGTTTAATGTGGAAGTTCTTACTTTCCATGTTAAATGTTAAATTATCAAAATGTAAAACCAAAAATTGATGGGCAAATGCAATTCTTAAAACACATAATCGCCTCAGTTTTTGGCAGTGTTGTGCTTTCACAGTTGTGAATGATGGTAGGAAATGTCTTTGTCAGACCGGCTGCAGCTGACAGCATGATAATGAAGTCTTATCCTTTCTACATTAGTATGCCTTCATAACTATTGGGTCCCAAGACTTCATAAACTATTAATCATAACAGGAATAATGTACATTTTGTGCCATGTTACGCTAGTTACACTGTTGGGGAGGTCTTCTGGCTATTTTCTTGTTTCACAATTTATGAATATTCCTGGGAAGGACCCCCGAAGATAAAGAAGCTTCATTCTTTGGAGGGATTCTTTAAAAAAGGAAGCCTCATCCATGCTAACATGTACAGTAAAAGAGGTCTGCTGAAGGGATGCCTGCTCTTCATAACTAATCCCCGAGTTCCTGTTTGCACCAGTAGGAGGGATGTCTCAGCCTGGCTCCTCCAATTCATTATCGATCGACCGACGTAAACGATTCTCGATATCTCGAGTGATTACCCCGACATGCCCTCACTTGGGTAATCATCCTCAGATAGCATCCTGGCCAGCCGGGGACGGGGCAGCTCCAGCGGGTACTTGTGTACAACTTTTATCATCGGATCCAAGCTGTTCCCTTGGCATGTTGTACCGGTGATTAGTGCCTAGAAGCTTAGATTATACTTTCGTCACTGGACCCACAATTGTGGCTGTTTACCCTCGAGTTTTATTTATGGTACTCGGGTTTACAAGAACGAGGGTTTTTATCAGTGACTTGGCTTGATATTTGAATTAAGCCATAAGTGTGATGCACCTTGTATCGGAGGTGTGTGTGTGTGTGTTGGCAGCATTCTGGGTGTAAATGTATTTTACAGGTGTGACCTTGAACTTGTCACTTCCACTGTTCCTCAGTACTTCACAACACATCACAAGCCCTTCACCGGCTGTGCCTAAGAGCTGTTTCCCTTCCACCCAGCTAAGTCTGAGACAAGCTGATAGTCTTCCAGAAAGGTCCAACTTTTATCGCTCTTTCCCGTTGATTCTCTCCAAAGATCTTCTCTAGTCCACGGCCTTTAAAATTGTTTAATTTTCAACAGAAAAAAAGAAGTTCCTTGGTGTTCTTGGACCAGGAAGGACTTACCCTCCACAGCAAAATCAATATCAGGTCTCTTCTTTAACTAATTCTTGTATAGATTATCAGTAAAATAATGGAGATGGATAGTGTCTAAGTTTCCTATTTGCCAGTGACGTCACATGCAGTTAGAGACCTGATTTTGTCCCTGCCTACAATTCGCCACGACCTTGCTCAGCTGTGTACAGTTCCCTTGGGGATATATCCAGCCTTATTTTTATAATTGATTTCACTTGCAGTGAATGAAAGATTTTTCTAGGATATTTTTGTGCTCCATGAAGTTTGAAATAAAAGCTAGACATGAATTGGAAAATGAAGTGCCTTATAGAAACGTGACAACATCGAACCTTTTGAGGAGTTTTTCACTTATGTAATTCTAAAACTGCAATTAAAATCACATGTTTGGTGTAGTAGCATATTTGGCCCATAATCAGGGTCACAATGAAACTTCTTCAAAGATTTTTTTTTAAAGTCCTGGTCACTTCATCGTAAAGGCTTAAAAAAAATACTGAAGAAGTACTAAATTAACGAAACAAAATATGGGAGTGGAATCCAGGATTATGCAATATTCATATGTGCGAGTCATGTTGTTGGCTGTGTACGTATAACAAATTCCAATGTCTAACTAAAAATAACATTAATACCCTGTATAGCCAATTGGTTCGACTGTTTCTCACGTTTCAATTTAGGTCTTGCAGACATGTAATACACACATAATTCTCTTAAATTTTAGTTGTAATCCAAACATTCAGTCTCAGTCACTTTGGTTAAAATGTCTTGACACGAATAAGATCTGTATTTTCCTAACCAGTTTATGGAATCATGTGACTGTGCTGTCTGTTGCTTCAGTTTGGAAATACAGGTATTATAGTTGTAGTTATTATCCATGTAATGATGCTGCTCCTGATGGGATATCTTAATTTATTGTAATATGTTCAGCAAAATCCAGAATGTTTCTCAGATAACAACTTTACAGTCCAGGAAAAAGATAAAAAACAAAACACTGCTTCTTTATTTTTAGATGTACAGTATATTATATTAGTAGCCACAGTCTAACAGTATATGTATACTCAATACTACATTACCAAACAATATTATGATCAGTGGTTGTTGCAAGGTAAACTGGTATACTTTTGTAACATGGATGCTTTAAAATAATCTAGTCTGTTACTACTACACATCTATGCTTCTCCCTACGCAAAATTGTCAGGGATAAACATTAACTCTTAAACTATTTTTTCCATCAGGCACGTTAAGATGATTGGGATGATAATCAATAACAGTGGCAAGTGATGACAAAATTGCCTGTCTAAACACCACAGCTATTAGGGAAATTTTTATATTTGTCCTGAGCAGCCATTAATGTTTATCTCTTACTGTCAACGTGTAAATATTTATTTTCACATTTGTAAAGGAGATTGTTAAACTTGTTAATATTCAGGGAATAACATCATCTGAGTGTATCTGTGTTAATATATTATAAACCTGACGAGCTTCCTGGGGAAGAGGTCATGTATCAAGATTGAGGTACACGATGCATCCTGATATATTCTTAACAAAAATATTCCTTACTTATTTCCTAAACCACAAATCTCCCAATAAGTAATAAAGTAATTCTATCGGGCAGACTCATTAATTACTACTCTTGCATATTCTTAAAAATATCGGTGCCCAGATACTGTATTTAAGATCACATGAATGTATAATAATATGGCAGGATGCATTAGTGACCCAGAGTGATTGGTGCAAGAGTTGGAGTTGCTACGTGGTTTATCTTGGAGAATGTGTTAAAAGCAAAGTCACCAGATATATACAGTGGTGGTGGTAGATGCTTCAGATCTTCAGGACCACACATGGGAAAAAATAATGTGATATTTTTGTTGTGGCCACACTGTCAGTCTTGGCAATCTGCTCACAATGAACGGCGTGGCACCTTCAACACTTAAAAGCGAAATATTATTATTAATATTAGTCTCTGAGAGGATAACCTATACGTACTCTCAACATCACATATATGCGGCTCCTCTTATGTTTTCTATATGATTTGCAGACTTGGTAGTCGAGGACAGTAAGACATCATTTACTGTATGATCTTTGTGGTTAGGGACAAGGAGTTTCTGGATTTCAGCTTGATTAAGAACCGTTGTTTTTAACTCGTTGGACTTTTCTTATGATGCAAGAGACATACAGTACTGTGCCCAGCTAAAAAGTTCTTACATGAAAAAGATGCATTAGACATCCCGGCTCAGTATACTCGTTATATCCTTTCATTAGGCTGTGGATATAGTGTATACAGATTCAATGTTTGCTTGCACTGATATTTTTATTATATTCACAACAGTGATCGCGTACCAGAAGATTTCATAACTGTTTCCTTAATTTTTGTACAGAAGTGTGCTAATGATAAAAGCAAATTTCATGTCGACTTTATAAAATAAAAGTTAACTGAATGGTATGTTTTCTCTTGATTCCTAGACTTGTCATTTTCACTTATTAACTAGTGGCCATATGATTATTTTTATAAATCAACTGTACTGCATTTCACTATTAATCTTTTCATTTAATATTATCAAGAGTATTATTACACACGAAACATCAGCTATTAGTAATTAAACAAGGATATCTGTAATAAAAGTAAGAATATTGTTGTTATAATGTATTTCAGTGCAATAATAACTAAGGTCTATATAAATTCATCCTCGAGTGATCCAGTCATCATATTCTTTATTGTTCAGATATCCTTAAAATCATCATATTCCTTTTCTTTATATTCCTGTGTTACGAGTCTTCTTATTTTTACTAAAGAATACCTGTATATCACATGAAAAGAATCCAGTTAAAATGTACAACTACACTACGCTTCAACAACTAATACCTTTTAATCAAAAAACAAAAAAAACTCAAATCTTTCTCTTCAATAAAAATAAGGAGATAACACTGAAGTATCGAACGACATTGTCTTAACCGCTGAAAAATTGCGTCATTATTTTGCAGGATAATATTGGGCTTTGCATTTATATGTTAGTGCTGTAAAAAAAAAACCGTAAATACTATGCATAACACATGGTTTAGAAAGGAAAGGGATCCGAGATTCTGCTGTAACATATCCGTTTATTTCTTAAAAAATTACATCTGACAAATGGGCTCCATTAGAATTGTTGCATTTCCAGCAGCGTTTGAGTAATGGCATTTGTTTGAACTAAGACGCTTCACCATGTTAATTTTTGTCTGTAGATTGTAGTGTTCCATCCCTCGAAACTTTTAGGCATCACTTACAACACAAGGAAAAAATAATTAGCTACCTCAATACTGCTTCCGACCATAATGATTATTAATGTATCAGATACTGCCTCAGTACGTGTGTGTGTCCCTCGGCTAAACGACGCGCAGTTGTGATCAAACGTTTCATTCAAGATATTTGGGGAAACTTTAAAACAGTGAGCATGATAGTTATCAGTAACGATCACCAAAGGTTTGATTTTTCAGTTACCAGTAGTGGTAATGTTGGTAATAGTGATACTGAGGCGATGTTCGACGATAAAAGTGACTATCACCAGTTGTTCAGCCATCCTAGTGCTGCCATTGGACAGAAATTTTTCTTCGTGCAACTGATATTAATTTTATCTCGTTCTGTTGGATCTCAAGCAAGGGAACTTCATTAAATACAAGTCAAGATAGTGGGCTCAATATAAGGTGAGTAAACATGTCAAGGTTCATCTGTAATGGCTTTAAGCTAGGATTCCTTTCACTTGTGTGCAGTGGTTTTCAATCGCTACAGGAGCGATTGGTATGTATTGCAAAAGCATAACGCTAAAGCCCTAGGGGGCGGAAAAATAAGAGTAAAAAGAAATTAAAAATTGAAAAGTAAAAGGTTATATTAATCAACACCACGAAGATGCCGGAGAACAAGCTTTTTGAAGTGAGCCGTTTGAGCGTTAGACCCCGGGCCGAGGCTCCATATCGTTCAGTTCCGTAGTACCCGTCAAGGAACTACTTCAAATGTTGCTAATCACGAATATGAATGTTCCCAGTCTCAAAAGTTGCACGTTAGTTTATAATTTTGTTTGAAAATTCTCAGAAAATGTGGATAGAAAGCGGTACATAGTGACGTCACGGCAGAGCACTGGCCACCAATGAAACAGCGTGTCTCATAAGGGCTGGTTCACGGCCATCATGACCGCCGTCTCTCACCAATATTGATAAACATGGCGTGCTCCATGCACGTTGTTGATTCTACAAGACGGGACAATATTATTAGGTTTTCTGAGGCTAGTTGGCGAAAATTTGTCTCAAGTGCATTTATGGAATACCTAGACGCCAGGGAATCCGAAGTTGCCAATGCCAAGGACTCCATAAATCGCTATGGACTATAGCTTGTACAGAGCTTTGAAGCGTTGCACGCTAAAATCCCCGAGGTAGAAATCGCCGGATATAAATTATTTAATTAGTAATATTAATAGTAACAAAATAAATTTTTTATGTGTAATATTTTTCCATTATTTTTTATATTGATGATTGAATTTCTTCAATATTTTTTATTACATTTTAGCCTACGTGTAGAACTATTATCTAGAATTAAAATACTTATATAAATGTATTTTAAGATGGCCAATTAAGAGTTATTAAATATATATCGCTTGTTGCTTTGTATTATTGTGCATGTATTTATTGAAGGTTTTAATGAACATCAAGTAATATAAGGCTATAAATTATGGTTGGTGGGGAATATTACGCTTAGCAACGAGAACATTCTAGGCCTTTTTTCCATCATAGTTTATTGGACGACTTTGAACGACCTTTAAGGTATACAATAAGGCTATTTCCATCAAATATTGCTAGTCGCTACCTTTAGATATGGCTTAAAACAATGTTGTACTCTGTTGCTAAGGTAAACATCTCCATACCAACCAGTAAATTAGAAGTTATCAAATTTCTACCTAACGTGCAAGATTTAAAGTTGGAACATATCATTTAGGGTTTATGGATGTTCATATAACATAACTAGCATATTTATAGGTAGTTCCCAGGTGGGGACTACGGATCTCGAAAACTATATGGAAATAACACAAGAAGGCAGAGCGTGAATGGAATCCTAGTTATTATGAGATCCTTTTTCTGATCCCAGTTTACGGTAAGAAACGTAATAAATTGCACTTATCTGCATAAATATACAATTTACTTTACGATCAAATTTTAAGGATTTTTCTGACACGTAAGCTAAGATTGCGTAGTAAGTAAAGCATAAAATACTTATGAGCGTTAAGTTCGGGAAGTGGAATCGCAAAAAGGAGTCAGATAAAAATCTAAAGACAGTAATAAAAATATATTACCTTGCCCAACTCAGCGGAGCCCAGTGATTATATTTTTTTTATTCAGTATCTGTGGCTCTAATCCCAATGAAACAAAAATGTCTACACTCTTTTATGCCAATGCAGCGCTTCATACCATAAAAAGCTTCAACAAATGCTCGTAATTTAGACAAAAATGTTACTAAGGAACATTATAGGAGTGGTGTTACCTCCTTTGGACAGTACCTTGACTATATGTACTTTCTTGTGACTTTTTATTATATAAGAAAATTTTTGGCTAATATATAGAAAACAGTAGCTCCCCGAGACTTAGCAGCGAGATGTGGTGTGTGGAGGTTGTTAAAAAATATATTAATAATATTCGGATCGTGACCGTCTGCTGTTTTCCATTGAAAATGAGTTAAAAATACCGAGTTTTCACTGATTTTATTAGAGGATACTGTATTATGTTGGGAAAAAAATGGCTGAAATCATGTGCTAACCTAACCTAACCTATATCTTAACTTGCTTATATCCATAAAACTAAGCATTTACAAAAAGAAAAAAAAATAGAACTGAACGTAATCAGCGTACAAAACTGTCTGAAAACACCCTCATAATTACCGAACCGTTGACGGTCAAGTCTCGTATATTAGCCCCAAAAATATGTATAATTTTGAATAAATGAAGCCACGTGTCGTTAACATACAACTGGTTACAACGACTGTTACATTGTATCGTGTATCCACGGTAACATGAACCATGTTTTATGCATAATGTATTCTTATTTTGTTTTACCGAGATGGGATGGTGGGTAGAGTAGCAGAAAGTTAGAAATAGTGGATAGTGCTCATTTCCTTGGGTCAGGGAATATTTTGTGGAAGATATCTAGTGAAGTAACTGTCAAATTGTGTCTTCCTTCATCTAAACTCCGGAATCTCTTCACAGATTTTCGGTTTCGTGGGGACTGCCCAAAGGTTTTGGGCCGAGGAAGTGTTCAGAATTTGCCTATGATTTATTAACTAGTAGAGTAAATATATATCTTTCAATGGAATTTTAGACCGTTCAAAAAGAATGTGAATTGATACTCATTAACATTAAACCTGGTAGTCTTTTTTCCTTTTTAATCGCCTTCCAAATAGATTTCTGGCATTTATCATTTAAGACGATGTTTGTCGGGGATTTTAAAATCATCGTTATGAATTTGTTAACACGTCTACACTCAGAGTTGAGCAAGTTGATTACTCTAGTGCGTGTTTCCCCAGCTGAGAAGAGATGCCCTGCCCCCTCCTCAAGAGTTACAGCTGATTAGCTGTTACAAATCTGTCCGATTTCGTCCTGAAGTGATGTATTTCTAAATTAATTTATTCAAAAGCGTTTGGATGACCGTTTCTGACGAGAAAGATATTTAGCTAAACGGCAACTTTCAGGGGCCGTGTAATATTTCCTTGTGATTCTCTTCTTTTAAAATATTAGTTTTTGCATAATGCAGTATAATTGATATATTGAAACAGGTTTTATTAAAATTCAAATTAACTAAGCACATAGATCGGTCACTATAGATTATACTGTATTGAGAAATGTTGTGATCAATGGTAACTTATTTGAAGGACACCACAGCCACGTGACAGTTTTCAAGAAGATATCGAGTTTTATCAATTTTTTTTTTTAATGTTTGAAATGTGTAATTACTGACCTTGTTACGTACTTCAAGACCTTTGCTGTTGAAGCGCAGTTATACTCCGGTCTGTATGAATTTTGATGTTTTCAAACTAATATGTGTTCCCTAACCTGTTTTTAATGTTGATTTCAGATATGACATCAGTTTTTGTCTATCACGCAAGGTTTATTGGCAAATGGAATCCTTGAGGCAAATGCCATTGTTCAGTGTCGCATCAGCAGCTGCAGTGTTAAATCTCCCTGTTTTGCTCTACTAAGATACTATTCCTGTAGTAATTATGTCTTCTCGTGGATGTTTGAACAATCCAAACGTATTATGCTATGTGGGTGCTTTGTTGTGCATAAGCAACGACAAGAAATAACCGCATTCGTGAAAATTGCATATTTTGCCTACTTTGGAGTGAAAATAGGTGATTCAGATAAACCATGGGCGCCACATAAAGTATGTCACACTTGTGTTGAAGGTTTAAGACCGTGGAAATAGGGTAAGAAAAAAGTTATGCCGTTTGGAGTTCCTATGGTATGGCGGGGGCCTAAAAATTATGGTGATGACTGTTATTTTTGTTCTGTGAAGATAGAGGGATATAAAGCAAAAAATAAACAAGGAATCATTTATCCCAACATTCCATCTGCCATGAGACCAGTGCACATGGTCCTGAGGTTCCAGTTCCCATTCAGCCAGATGCGTTGTCCGTGTCATCAAAATCTGACCGTGATTCATCGTTAGATAACCAAAGTGATGTTTACCAACCTGAAGATATTAGTGATGTACCGGAGGTGTTTATCCAGAGTGAACTTAACGATCTGGTTAGGGATTTGAATTTACCTAAGGAGTCTGCTGAATCTTTAGGATCTCGGTTGAAATCGAAGAATTTATTGAGCAAAGGGACATATTTTTCATGGTATAGGCAACGTGAACAAGAACTAGTTTATTTTTTTTTCAGAGGAAGGCTCCTTGGTTTACTGTAATAATGTGTCTGCTTTAATTAACTATTTTGGCATTTCCTATACAGCTACTGATTGAAGGTTGTTTATTGAATCTTCAAAAATAAGTCTCAAAGGAGTTTTACTTCATAATGGAAATATATTTTCATCAATTCCTGTGGCTCACTCTGTTTATCTAAGGGAAAAATGAAAATTTGTAGATACTTCTAGAGAAAGTTCATTATAAAGATCATGGTTGGTTGGTTGGTTTGTGGAGATTTCAAAGTCATTGTGTGAGTGGGACAGCAGAGCAAGACGTGAACATTGGGACAAAAAACACTGGCCACCTAGGCAGGCTTTTGTGCTTGGGTCAAAACTATTCTACATGAACCATTGATTGACCCTAAGAAAGTGTTGTTGCCTCTTCTGCATATTAAATTAGGGTTAATGAAACAAATTGTAAAAGCCCGAGATAAGGAAAGTGATTGTTTCCAGTACAAAAGCAGGGAATCTCCATCAGTCACATATGAAAAAATGAAAGCTGGCATTCTCTTGGGCTCTCAAATCCGAAAGTTAATGTTGGACCACCACTTTGAAGAATCTATTGTAACAGTACCTACCATGGTGAACCTTTAGAGTTTTACTGAAACTTGCACTTTAATGGCGGTGATCATAGTGAAAGTGTTCCGAATAGATGTGGTCATGGTGACAAGTATTACCAATGAAGGTCATGGTGACAGTGTTGCCACCACATAAGGTCATAATAATACCTGTGTTGTCTTGTTCTGATGACTTATTTACTTGTATGTAAGGGCTGGTTGGTTGTCCGCCGCTCGTTCGCGGCCCCACTAGGGGGGTGGACAGAGGTGAGAAGGTAGTTGCTGCCTCGTCGCGATCCAGCCTTCACACCGCTGTTCGATTCCAACTCTGGTTGTGTACTCATCTGGGGTTCCTGGGGCTCGTGGGTTGATTCCCCAGTCCTTCACTATTCTGCTTTCAACTCCGGTCACCTACTCCAGCTACTGCCACTTCCTCCACGCCCTATCCACCGCCCTTGCCCTGGCGTCTCTCCTGTGTGGCAAGACATTGCCCGCCGGTGCCAAGTGAGGAAGCTGCCTTGGACCTTCCCCCTGAGAGAGGATCACGGCGTTACCAGAACTTTCCACCGTGTTGGTTAGGAGGAAGATTCATCTGCAGCTGTAGGAAATACCTATACTTTGTTGTATTGATTATTTTGTTTCAAGTAATAGTTTGACTCCAATTATTGTGATTATTTTCGTAGTAAAGAGATGTCAATCTCTTAACGGTTGTTTGTTATCCCTTGAAAACCCATGGTTCTTGACTTTCCTTTTTATAAAATCCTGATTAGGCTGGCAAGGGATTTATATCCTACAAGCAAGGCATTTACATCGTACACGCCCATATTTATTATCATTTCGAGGGAAAGGTCCCGGAGTGCTTTATAATGGCCGAGATAAGCTTTTATGGGCCTGATGACCTATGTTCCCAAACACAAGTAGCAAGTTTTTAATTCCCATAGATTATGTTTGACTGGGTCTGACACATGACGATTGTGACTTCCTCAGAAAGATTCGTGTGTAGTGCAACACTAAATAAATTTAAAGTACTGTATATTGTTGGCACGACTAAGTTTCTAGAGACAGGTCCTGATGAGTTAGAATAACTCGACAGTGTTTAATAAAGACGTGCATCATTGAGAGGTCGTGAGTGAGGTGAAACTCCTGTACAAAGCTTAACGAGACCAAGTAAACAAACAGGGCCTGGCGAGTAAGAGATCTTTATAACTTGCCTCTTGTCGGTATCTTTCACGCACACATCACCGAGTGAATTGAAAATGTCTTCATATACTAATCCTATTTAAATCTAGAACGGTATTTTCCACTTGGATACCAGCAGCAGCAGCGGCTGCAGCAGCCTGGGCAGTGCTTGGCACAGGAGACCCTCCGGGTACAACATCAACCGCCCCGTCAGGGTAGTGTTCCTGGTACACGGAGATGAACCCGGTCATGTGCTTCATCCGCATGCGGTAAGTGAAGTCGAGGAGGTGGAGGGAGTTCTCCTGAGTGACGGTGTCCACCTCCACTACCAGCATGTAGGAGAAGAGGGTGGAATGGTGGGCGGAGAAACGCCTGTAGAAGGCGAGCTTCTTAAGGCCCAGGTCGTCGTCAATGTTGCAGTAGATGTAGAGGGCACCTGTCCACTCCTTCCACAGCGTCTCCATCTTCTGTTTAAAAGAAATCAACACACATTCACGAGGGAGCTGCAGCATTTTTGTTTCTAGTCATAACTTATTGCACGAATTGAATGCTATTTTAGGCTATTCGTTGAGGCATGTACAGGGTACCAATGATAATTTTTGCAGCGTGGTATTTTCTCAAGAACGTTGTTGACTTCGTCAGTGCATCTTGTAAGAATATCTACACACTATTTCATCCCTACACAGGCAACAAGAGCTCATACAGACGAGACTCGCCTCGTTTAGTTCCCCGTCAAGCGTCTTGAAGCCAATGACAATGTAGCAGCGAGCCCACTGAGACGGATCGCTCGGGCAGGTCACCAGAAGTTCTGGAACCCATGACACTACCTCTTCGTACACCCCTGCAACACATTACACTCATCAGTACCACATCCAGGTACACTACAAAACAACACCTACTGGTACACCACTACTCCACACAACGCCCATCAACGCCTGTGATACAGTATATATATATATATATATATATATATATATATATATATATATATATATATATATATATATATATATATATATATATATATATATGATAACCACAAGGAAAAAGAAAACACGAAGTTTTTCTTTTCCTTGTGGTTATCACATATACCTGATCATGCGCACCTACAAGTGATTTACTTGCATATATATATATATATATATATATATATATATATATATATATATATATATATATATATATATATATATATATATATATATATATATATATATATATATATATATATATATATATATATATATATATATATATATATGGGAACATCTACTAATGTCTAAGAAAGGCTGGTACTTAAATAGAAACGCGCCTGCTAGCACAAAGGGGCCATGAATTATGGATATGGGTAATCCTGCTATGGACAAGGTAACTCAGTGGACAAGGGGAAGCTGACAGTGGATGTGGGTAACTAAACTAGACAAGGCGACATAGGTAATATGGAGAAGTGATCTTTGGATATGGGCAACCTATCTAGGGATATAGTTTCAAAAGAACATAGTGGGAGAGGTGGAGGTGGGATCTAGCTACCCACCTTGATGTAGAACACAGTCAGAGCCCAGACTTCCCTCCAGCACACGTCTCTCGCCGTCTCCGCCAATCAGCGTGTCTGGTAGTTTCTCGCGCATGTGCAGTATGGGGTAAGGCACTGTAAACAGACGACAGACACCATTTACAAGTTTCACGACAACATAATGGTGGATTTTTTGTGGATTTAATAACTTTTTCGTACTCATATGATTGTGTTGTTTGTTTCATAAATGACATGCCTGACTTGACCCTCCATACAGCCATGACGCCAAGTTATTTCATTAGAACCAAGGACTGTGAGCTGCAAAGGCCTCCAGGAATGGCAAAATGCTGAGATTCAATGTCACGAGGTGAGAGGATCCTGGGGCGTACCCGGGAGGCGTACCATATGTCCCAACGGATGAAAAATGTACTTGAGACTGTGTGAGAAGGACCTGTGTGTATGTGACAATGAGCTGAAGTTTCGGCCATTGTGAGAAGAAGGTAAATCAGGCAAATAAATTATTGGGTCTTATAAGAAGGTCGTTCAGATATCTAGACGGTCCGTCCTCGTGACGATCTTCAGGGTAAGTCTTCCCATCTGAGTACTGTACCCCATCTGGTCCCGAGATATGCTAGGACTGTCAGTTGGTTGAAAATGTTCAAGGAGGCCACCAAACTGGTGCCTGCACTTCGGCACTCAGCTACCTGAGATGGAGCGCCTGAACTTGCCTGCTTATACTACAGACGGGCAAGGGGACCTAGTTGAGTTTATAAGCATCTCGGGGCACTCCAGTTGAGTGTCTACTTGAGCTGGCGGACGCTCCCCCAGGTCCAGCTCAAGATTAAGCCGCAAGTCCGAAAACCGTAAACCGAGAACTCGAAAATCTACCAGAGGACGGCACCGACCTTCAGAAGACACCAACACTGAGCGGTTCAGGTACATTCAGGAGCCGTGCATGCCCAGTTTCCACAGTGCGTGACGACGACGCCCGGCGCTAGCCCGACAAAAAAAAACCACCCAAAACACAGGATAAGAAAAAAGTAATGTTTTTATATGCTAACGACTAGAGGAGCCTATGTACTGTATGTAGTTATGAATGCCCTTCATATTGTCAGTTATGTACTTTAGTGTATTTTTTATAAAAAAAATGTAATTATTTTCCCCCAAAAATCTGGCAATAAAATATACATACAGAAAATTACCGACTGCTTATTGATGAGCTGAAAGCTGGGAAACTGAGTAAGCTGGATGAACTGCAGCTTGTAAGGCGAGGTGATGGCGTCGAACAGAATGAATGAGTCAGTAATATCAAACAAGCAATGAGTGACGGCTGAAGTCAGAACAAGGCATGTGTGAGTATGAAGCTATTAGCAATGGGGACAACTTCTCTGGACCAATTGCACTTTTAAGAGGACTCGGACGATTCAAAGCTAACCAAACTTAATATAACATTCCACGGTAATTTTGGTTAGTATATGCTATCTACTTTCATTAATCGACAAGAAAATACAGTATGTTAAATAAAAGAATGATTTATTGATCGTGTTCACACATTGTTCGATTTGTGTAGGCCCGAGTGTAGAGAAAGAACTGGAAAACAACACTGCTGGCTGTCGACCCACTATAGCCAGCTCGAATCACTGACCAGAAAGTAGCCTACACTCTTTCCCTCCCTACTCGAATGTTATGTCACTACAGATTTCACCTGCCCGTAATATCGTTGTTTTATTTTAAGGTTTCCGAAATGTGTGTGTGTGTGAGAGAGAGAGAGGCAAGCCATATAAATAGTTCCTTGCCCTACCGTACCAACACCAAGCACCACTAACGCGGCCACGGAAGCCATATACAGTAGTACCAGCCTTCATTTCTTATATCTATCTATTAATCTTAGACTGAGAGAGTTTACGTAGCTATATGTTTCAGCTTATTGTATGCATTGAATGACTCACAAATAGCTGCACTATCCTGGATGAAATTTTGTGTTTATTTTTACGTCTTTTAAGTAATTCTTAGATTAAAGGGGTTCAGTATATGTATTGTATGTCCTTTCTGCCAGCCTAATCTAACCATCATAAAGTTAAACCCATTTTACGAATCACCTTTATTGAATATTACTGCATTTTTCTGAACATATTCCTGACGCCGGACTCACCAGCAATCTCCAGACCTTTCATGATGATTCCTTCTTGCAGGTCGGGGTTAGTGATGACACCCTTGAGCCAGTTGACGTACATCTTGCCTCTGGTCTCCCATTCGTAGTGACTCTGCGACTGCTTGTACGGGAGGGAGATCTGCCTCCTCTGCCTTGTCTGCCTTGTCTGCGACGTCGCCCTCGAGATGAAGGAGATGACGTAGTGCCCATGACCTGGCTCCTCCTGAGGATGATGCAGTTGGTTGCAATACTAAAAGGTAAATGGCATATGGGATTCGTTCTTTTAAGGGAGAAATGAAACTCCTGGTAATGACATTTCTAATTACATTATTAGCAAGCGTGACTCCAGGATTATATAAAAAAAATGAACTTTTAAGTAATAATTTTTCTTGATTGTATAATAAATGGTGATTAGTTGATAATGAACCATTACTTAAATTTCAAGTTGTTAGTCTAGGAACACCCCGAAAGAAAATTGTCGGAATCTTGGGAACATATTAAGTGGATTTGTCTCTTGATGCTTACACTCTCAGGATTATCGTGCAAGTACTGTACAGGGTAGCACAAATATTATATTCTTGTATACATTGAAACCTCCATATAACGGACCTCTCTCCCCATATAATACGTTAGGTAGAGGTTTCACATTTAATGGGCCCTCGATATAACGGACTTTCATGTCTTTATTGTTTGTTAGGTTGAGGTTTCATATCTAATGGGCCCTCGATATAACGGATTTTCCTGTCCATATATCCCGTTAAATTAAGTTTTTACTGTACAAACACACTACTGTAGAGACTGTGTGAACTGACTAACCTGGTTTTGGAAGTTGGCTGGTCTAGGAGTTGGCATCGACCGGGGTACTGACGGGGTCCAGATTGTCGGCGCTGGGCAACCCGTCCTCTTCTTCAGGGTGGTTACCATCTCCACCACGTTGTCGAGGCGGTTGGTCTTGGCGTTATTATTGGTAGTTACGGTCCTAATCTTATCCCAGGACGTGTAGGAAGATTTCAGGGATCGTTTTCCCCGTGAGTCACTTTTCGGGTTGGCACTTGGCGACCTTTGAGTAAGAATCGACTTGGGACAATTCTTTGTCTGCGTGGTGGTGTTTTTGTTGCTCAGTACACCAGACGACACGCTGTTGTTAACTACAGCTTCCATAACGTTGGCATTTTTATCATCTTCTCTTCTTTCGTCTCCTGTCCTCATTCTTATCCTTCTGAAATCTTCTCTCTTTTCTTTGACTGTTCTCACATCTTTCCTGAGGTCTGGTATCTCTCTAAAGTTTCCAACATCTCTGCCATCTATGACGTTTCTCAAGTCTTCTCTTCTTCCATTGTCGTTTCTGGTGTCTTCTCTTCTCTCGGTTAAGTTTCTGATATCGCTCCTTTCTTCGTTAAAGTTTCTCATGTCATCTCTTTCCTTGTTAAAGTTTCTCATGTCATCTCTTTCCTTGTTAAAGTTTCTCATGTCATCTCTTTCCTTGTTAAAGTTTCTCATGTCATCTCTTTCTTCGTTAAACTTTGTGATATAGTCCTTTCCTTCATTAAAGTTTCTGAACTCTGCCCTTCCATCATCGTAGTTTGAAATGGATTCCGTCTCGTCGAAGGGTCTGCTGTCCCTGATACTCCCGTTGTTGCCTGTCTTCTCACCGTAGCGTTTAGAGTTTCTTGGTTTCTCGTGCATTTGGAATGAAGAATAAGATTTGTCTGTACTGTAATAAGATTCATCGATGCTGCCCTTATCGTCACTTCTCCAGCGTCCCTTAAGAGAGATCTTGAAGTTGACGAGTTTTTTCTTCTTGACTGGCTCCACTTCTTGGGGGGACAGAGTTTGACGTAGTCGCCGGTGAGGACCAAATTCCAGGATATCTGCATCTTCCCTCGTCATATGTGGGTCCATCCTTACGGCTTTGGCTGTCTTTTTCCCAGCAACCGTTCTTCACCTAAGCTTACCCCAACTTGGATAAAGACTTTGGTTCCTGGAGTGTGTAAGACGTCGCCATGGTGTACGTGTGTTCAAGACTGGTGATTATCTGAAGGATGACAAAAGTAAGGGACTATACCGATGTGAATAAGATATAAGTCGTTACTGTATTAATGTAATCAATCAGTCGAATATCATTGCGCTAATTTTCGTGTACCGCAACTTAACACTACATGTCGAAACATGTACCTCGCCCTCATAATATGATAAGTCAGTAGTATATATATCAAGTAAAGACCCTCATTGTGGACCCGTAGCGCCGTTGGCCAAATTCACGGATTCTACGAAAGTTCGGGTCGGTGGTTCCCGTTTTACCTGGAACAAAATCCCCTTTTTCTGTTAATGGAGCAGTTTTAATTTGCCTAGTTATTCTGTAATATGAAACACATCTGTAGTCTTCTCATCACAAGAATTGTTATAGTGTGTCCCATTTGTTTGGTGGTTTACTGTACAGTATGCAAGACACCGGCCTCTTAGCCAGTTTCTTCACATTCTGTGTGAGTCGTCTGGTTAACAATGTGGCGAGAGCCGAGTCACAATATCTAACAAGATAATGTAATTAGTAAGACATAGTTTAGTTCTACTATCTTACCTCAGCTAGAATATTACGCCAGTATTTCGTTCTCTTCTGCAATTATCATTTAAAGCTTTTGGTTAGGTACACAAATGATACTAAGATACACTTGTCATTTTTAACCTTTTGGCAAACCTTAACTACTGTCGTTCCAGGTGAAACTGCGTCAAATGGGGAGGTGCAATTACAGTACACTATATACGAAAGATTTGGTACAGAAGGAGGCAGTGCGGCACTGCACTCGACCGCCTTCACTTTCCCTACTGTAAGTTAAGTAGCCTCAGTTGGGTTCGACTGGAGGTGACCAACAGTGCTCAGGAGAGGATGGAGCGTTGTATTCATTTGGGCTTTGTGCAATTTCAATACAAAAAAAACAGTTTGAGTATCCTGAACACTCGTCGCTTGTCAGTCGTCTAACACTCGCGATACACTCTCCCTCATGTAACACAACACACTTCTCTCGGTGTTGACTACCAGCAACAGGCGAGCTTAGACATTCCCCATCACAGCATATATGAAGGTGGCACCATAAACCTTTAAATTAGATATGTTTTTATTGACAAGAATTTCCATTTCTTATATTGAATTTCGTTTTATATATATATATATATGTTGTGCATATATAATTGCTACTGTACTGTGTAATCATCTTCACGGTGCACTACCACTGATACAATATTAACATTACCGCATACACTAACACTCCACACCACAACTGCATCCATACACCGCGGGTTTAGTTATGTTAAAGTAGGTCACGTTAGGTTAAATTAGGTTACATTAGGGGCTGGTGAGATTGGGTTGTTAATCAGAAATTACCATAAATATCGCCTCAGGTACAGTACGTCTTCAAATATGTGGTGTTTACTGTATATAGCAAGACTGTCACATGTACGGCTAGTCGGGTGCATGGAACAACTGCTACTACTACTCACTCAGCTGTAAGATAACATCACCATATAAAGGCACAGTTACCTCATCGATATTGGCGGTCGCACATTCTGAATTTTGCCAATATTTATGTGTGTGGGATATTTCCAGTCTATAGCAGGAGAACTAGGTGTTAGGTTGACTTTGTGTAATACTGTAGAATGAACAAGTCCTTAGAACACCAAGACACGTCGCACCCTCACACCAACGCTGGCAGCCACTTACTGTCGCTATTATAGAGCCACACTACAGGCTTCACCACCACCACCACATGTAACCCCATCACCGAGCAGTAACTTATTTGAGCGTTGCTTAAAGTATACAGGAAAATAAATTTTTCATCTTCCCATATTTTGACATAATATTTGTAGGGATTTTTTTTTTACCTGCTTTTTGAGAATTAATATTAATGTTGCAATTGGTTAATATTTAGAAGTTGCCAACGACTACTTATATATTAGGTCTTGTATAGGGAGAAAGATAAAAAAATATATTCTATAGTGTTTTCGTCGGAAATTTTAAATTTTCGAGTACAGGAGGTATTTAAAAAATTTTATTGATAAAATTACCAACAATATTACTTGTTGAAAGTGGGCAGGGCTTTGGAATAGAAGGAAGATGTGCGGTAAATTAATAAAAAGAACACCAAATAAACCTTTGAAAACCTTACTTTTCTAACCTGTAAAAATATTAAGAATCGCTTTTGAGTTATGGATCCCTCCTCATCTGATCACCAAAAACAACACCATCACGCACTTAACACTATAAACATGAATAAGGTAAGCATTTTATAATTTTATTATTTTAAAGGTTAAGTAAGGTTTTCAAAATTTGTTTAGTGTATCCCTGCGGTCATAACACAAGGGAAGAATGGCCATGGTGGTTCCCTATCGTTGTTTTTTGTTACTACGTCATCGTGGTGTCCCAATGGAGCTCATCTGAATTATGTGAATTAGGATTATTATTAACTATAAATATATAATGTAACAGATCGATTAGAAATTTCATAGGCAGATGTATGTATGCATGAGGCTATGTGTGGTACAATATATTACAGTTTTACTTTATTTGATGAGCAGTTATTTAAGTACCGTTCACTAGGTCTTAGTTTTAGGTGCTTTAACTACCCAGGGTTATTGAGCACCGTTCACTAGGTCTTAGTTTTAGGTGGCTTTAACTACCCAGGTTATTGAGTTCACTAGGTCTTAGTTTTAGGTGCTTTAACTACCCAGGGTTATTGAGCACCGTTCACTGGGTCTTAGTTTTAGGTGCTTCCCCAGGGTTATTGAGCACCGTTCACTAGAGTCTTACAGCTTTAGGGCTTCAACCACCAGGGTTATCATAAATATATCCTGTAAGTGATGCACAAAGTTTACGTACTTGACCATTAATGCCGTCTCTGCTTACTGATAACTCATTTATCCTGGGTTTTTTATGATTTTAGCACTGGCAAGAGTATTAGACCCTCGAGTGGTCTATTATTTGTAAGTTACTGCAACTTAAATTTGATTCTGCAGCGTCGTAATGCCTCTCTCTACTAGGACTGTATGCAAAGGACAACTGTGTTAAACATTCTTTTGGCTTTTATTTACTGATTTGACAATACACTATTTTTTGTTGTAACTTATTTATTGGTATTATTTTTATTTATTCCTCGTATTTACTGGTACTGTATATATTATTTTAAAAACATATGGATACAGGAAGAAAATGCACACAAAATTTTTCTAAATGCTCCTCTCTAAAATGGGGTGTGTTATACTGCCCGATTCTGGGGTCACTAATTCTAAGGTGATAACTTAACTCTAATCTTAATTTCTAAGGGTCGCTGCCACCAGACCCCCTCTGGACAGCATGTAGCTCGTTAGGTAGCGTGCAGAGTGGACTAGGCATTGGGTTAGGTTTTTCATTGACCAGATCGATAAGGGGAAAGAAGGGTCTTAATTAATGTCTTAATTAATTTATTCCTTATAAAGCATACTGGTAAAAACATACAAATGAATTGGTCTTCCTCAGAAGAACAACGAAAATGTTGGTTACACAGATGGGCACCAGACGTCTTACATTAATGGCGTGTCATCTATACTTATTACATAACAATCTGTGACCACCTTACCTCGGTCATTCCGTCTTACACTATCTTAACACATCAGACTGCTCCACCTGTATGGAATATAGCACCGTCGGTTATCATACATAGCACCATCTCAACACATGATACCTCCACCTGCAGGTATGGGACTCCTTGTAACTTTTAGGTATACACAACAGGCACCTCGTTCGCACACCGCCCTCGGTGGTAAAGACAGGGAGCTTACCCAGGAACATACCAGTACTATTTCTCGCCTGGTATTATAAGGTCGCTCCAAGTGACGACCGCAGAGTTTCTCACGGTCTCCTTATTTGTGACTACTCATTTGGGTGGGGTGCTGAAATCCACAGGTTCACAGTGGATGGCATAGCTGGGAGTAGTCACCACCTGTTGGGACGCTCATAGGGATAATGGCTGCCGGGTAGCAAGGCACTCCGACCCCATGAAACCCTGAGGTGACGGTAGAACGGAGGGTACTGAGAAATAATGCCTGACGGGCGGTTATCACACCTCTAACACATTCCTATAACACTTATATATCAGGCAAAGCTTTAAACTGTAATAACTTCTATATAAGCCTTAAATATAGGCGGATATAGCCCGATAGGACACTGACCTGAGGTGACTGTGAACGGAGGTACTGAGGGCAGTGCCCTGCCGCTCATCACCACGTAGGCCTACAGTTTAATCTTTAATTTTTACTTTTTATTTCTTACGGTTCTCACCTGAACACTTTTGGTATATTGTCACTCATGCCGTATATAAACACATATTTTAATCCTAAATTACACACTAAGGTAAGGTCTTGGTTTGCTAGTTCGTGGGTAAATATCTGGTTATAATATCAACGCGGCACACCCGAGGCGGGTACATGCCGCGCCTTAAACAAAGGCCGAATGTTCATGGGGTGTATCAACTTCACTTAAAACTGTAATGAGGGATCCTCTCACACATTACACTAGTTGAACACAGACATAAGATTCTCTGATCACTGTACCTGCCGGATATATGTCATGAGGATACGAGGTATTGTTCATACCGACGCATACAAGATTATTTCCTTTCAAGTATAGTTTCTGGGTCACTTCGAACACCTCACATAGTTCTGATACATTTATCCTTTTTCCAGATCATTGTTCTCATGTATTTTCATATATCTGTGAAGTTATGTCTACACGTTCTACAGACGTAAATAGTATGACCTCAAACCCTGATCCACACTTAGTCCTAAAGGTAATCACTAGTCCGGCTCGACTGGACTTTAACATTCATCTTATGCATACCGAGTTCTCTTAATGCTATGAATACATACAATTATGATATAACTGTACCTGGGTACAATACAACACATGGTCTAGTAACATTGAGTAGGTGGTTATCCAACAGCGTTTCCCGTTTTCTGAGATTCTACAAGCGGTGGATTTGAATGTTATATAACGTAATATGAATTAAATGGGGTTTTTAGGAATGACAATGATGCGCAGTACAGAGGTGTGAGCTTGTCAATTTCAATTCATTTCAATTGTTTATTCTGATAGAGAAGCGGATCCTAGTGCTGTCACTAGGTGCCCTGTACACAACAACAGAAGCCCAAGTGTCACAAGTATATACAGCATAATATTATAAAGGCTTACTAAAGTCATAGAAAGATATCTTTAACATATAATCATGTTATTTACATAATATCTGGCCAGTATGGGAGGATCATCGTCTCCGTAGTCTGGGTGGTGGTCCAGCAGGCGTCAGAAGCTGTGTGGGGACATCTGGAGGTAGTGGATAAGGTGCTGCTGTCGGGTCTTGCATAATGCACTAAGAGCGTTGCTCGGATGGGATACCAATCTCCCAAGCAAAGTCTTACCCAATGATGATACGGGCAGCAATCACGTCCCCTTTCCGCGACCCTTTCCCATAGACATACGAGAGGTCAGGAAGTTTACGGAGGACATCGTACCAGGTGGGCGGGAGTCCAGGGGGATGGCTGCTTCCCGAGCTTCTCTCTGTTTGCGGCGAATTTGGGTCCTAAGCTGTAAAAGTGTTCGAGGAACAGCGTAGTCAGGTGTGGTCTTGTTGCAGCCAGTCTTTGCAAGGCCATCTGCTGCCGCATTCCCCAAGATACCGACATGACTGGGTATCCATAGGAATGTCACAGGACAACCTGCATCCTGAAGTGTGGATGTTAACCCTCGTCTTCAGAGTGAGCTTGTCTGTGGCCGCGCCCGGTTGCCAGTCACCATCTGACGCTGTAAGAGTAAAGTCTGCAAAGAACGTGGTCTATTATTCAAACCTCTCACAAAAGCCTTGGCAAAATCTAGGTAAATAATGTCGATATTACCACCCCGTTCCAGAATATGGGTCAAACTATCTAATTCCTTGAGCAATTGTGTTAAGCAGGAGCGCCCAGGCATAAAACCGCATTGGCAATGCTTTACAAGGTTGTTTGGTAGTAGATGTTCCATCGCGGCATCTCTGATAATACTCTCAAGTACTTTACATATTATGCTGGTCAGGCTCACCGGTCTATAGTTGTTCGTGGAGTGACGATCGCCCTTCTTGAAGATAGGACTCACATAAGCCACTTTCCATTCACTGGGGACCTTTCGTTCATCCAGGCATTTACAAAACAGGATCTTCAGGGGCTCGGCAAGCTCATTGCTCGACTCTCTTAGCACTCTAGAATGCACCATGTCAGAGCCGGGACTCTTATGGACCTTTAGCTTTGACAGTTTATTTCTAATACCCTCTTCTGTGAACACAATGTGGGTCAGTTAAAGCTTTCAACATCACTCACAAAGGATCTTGTATGCTTTAACTGTAATCAGACATCTCTAAGTTGACTCAAAACAATGGTGTCCTCTCTCATATTCAAATTCACTATGTAGAGAGGTTGGTTTCAGGAAGTCAGAGAAAATGGATGGCACCCTGGTTTGGGAGCGATGAGAAAACTGACGCCTCAGAGGGGAGACTCAATAAAAAAGACATAGCTACATGTTTTGTGGGCTATTGAGCGTAATATGAATCGTCTGATTTTACGTTAACTGACGTGTATGACCGTGGTCATTACACCAGTACGTATCCACATGCCAGTGGGCCTATACTCCGTCTCTCTGGGGCCCACT